CCTCCACGTGTTTTTTATTTTATTTTTAATGTTTGAAAAATCATCAGGTAGTGGAAACACACTTTTTCTTCTTCTTCTTCTTCTTCTTCTTCTTCTTCTTCTTCACCATCTTTTACCTCTTCCTCTTCTTCTTCTTCTTCTTCTTCTTCCTCCTCCTGCCACCACCCACCTCCACGTTTTTTTCTTCTTTTAATATTTAAAAATTCGTTGTGCAGGCGGCACACACCTCCCGCCCCTTCTTCTTCTTCTTCATACCAACCACCTACCTCCACTGTGACGACCATGGCCTGGAATCGAGGACCGTTTGAGCCTGAGACTGGTGCAGAGAGAAAAATGACACTCAGTATGTCAAAGCTTTGGATATGGGCAGATCGAGGGCAGAGGGTGACGAGCGGCACGTCGCACGACTCGTGGAGGTTGCGTTGCAAGCTCTGCGACAAAGAGTTCATCGGCACGCTTAGCAAAGTGGTGAACCACCACACCCAACTGTCGCCCACTGACCGCTGTCTGCGTACCACCGAGGAGATTCTCACTTCGATAAGGAGGAACCACCTGAAGGTGCGAATCCTCTGTGAAATAATTGAAAATTGAACGACTATTGCAAGGAACAGGATCGTCCACCGGTCGTGGAGAATCCACAAAATCTTGCTTCAAGTGATCAAGCGGGTGCATCGGCGGAGCCCAATGTGGCAGGCCAAGAAGGTAGGAGTGACGCAGGTTCAACAGCGGGGAGTGTTGGGTTTGACTCAACATCTTTCACCGACATGGCCGCTCTGGTTTCCAGGGGGCCTGAACTCCCATCGGAGATTGTTGCGCACTTGCGGAATCCCGTTCTAGTTGTAGCTTAACCTCTGCGATCTCCATCCGGTGGACAACAGTCTTCCATGAACAATTTCGTGGTGGATGGGCTGCAGAAAGAGTTTGATCAGGCGGTCGCCTCTTTCTTCTTTGAGAATATCATCGCCTTCAATGCTGCGAGATCTGACTCGTATAAGAACATGGAAAGGATAATGAACCTGGCAGCAATCAAGGAAGATGTTGCGATTGCCATGACACAAGCACTTGAGGACAAAGGCCCAGCCCACGGAGTACAAAGTCGTGGATCAAGATTTGAACAAGATCCGTGAGCCGTGGGATGTCACAGGCTTAACCTTGATGACAGATGGTACAACGACGACCAACAAGAGGCCGGTCATTAACTTCCTTGCAACCGGTCATTCGGAGGCTGTCATGGTGAGGAGCATGGACATGGAGGGGAAGGATAAGTCGGCCCCAACTTTGGCAAGGATGCGGGAGGAGGTCATAAGGGAGTTGGGGGTGTATGGGGTCAACGCCATCTGCACCGACTCAGCATAGGTCAACATTTCTGCCAAGAAGATATTGGTTGAGCACGAGGACCCTACGATCCGTAACATTCCATGGGTGCCCTGCGGATGCGATGTGTGCAACTTGCTCATGTGTGCAACTTGCTCATGTGTGACATTGCTTCGGTGCCATGGATTAGAGAGGTGATTCTTCAGGGTAGGGAGATCACAACTTTCATCAAGAGACATCAGCGGGCGTTGGCGATGTTCCGGAGGACTGAGAGGGAGTACAAGACATAGTTGGGTATCAAAGACGGGATGCCATTGGAACTGATTCAACCAGGGGAGACTAGATTCGGCACCAACTTCCTCATGTTGCAGCGACTTCGGGAGTGCGAGAGGGCGTTGTTAATGACTGTTTCCAACCCGCGGTAGGATGACTCTCCATGGGATCGGACCACAGCGAAACGGGCTCGATCGTGCAAGGAGCTCATATGAGACCCGGCTTGGTGGTTGACTGTGCACCGGACATGTACCTTGCTCGAGCCTGTTTATGCCTTGATGAAGGACATGGACAGAGACAGGAGGATGGGTATGCAAGTGTGGTCTTTGGGGATCACGTTGGAAAAGAGAATGGCCATGTTGCCCATGGATTCTGAGACAAGGGAGTTCGTGATGGCGAACGTGAAAGACCGTGTGCGGATGATGATGGTTCTTCCCGTGCATGCAGCGACGTGGATGTTGCACCAGTTCCACCGATCAACTCGACTGTTTGACGACTATGCGTCCGAGGAGATCGCAAACACTTTGACTCACTTTACTTCGGTTCACCCGAAGAATTCAAAGGAGTAAAAAGAATGTTGGAACTCCTCTAAGAGTTTCCATTACATGGATTCGGAGTGGCATGACAAGAACGCTGAGGAGGCTTTGACAGGCGAGCATGTATTTGTGGCGCAGTGGTGGTTGACTTATGGGAAGAAGAAGCACCCAACCTTGACAAAGATCGCAATCAAAGTGCTCAGCATGCGGACCACGACCTCTCCGTGCGAGAGGAACTGGTCCACGTTCGACCCCGTTCACACGAAGAGGAGAAATTTGTTGAGCCCAAACAACCTGCAAATACTAGCCTTCATCCATTGGAACAAGAAGGTTTTGCACATGTCAAGGGTGAAGATGGGATTTGTCAACACTGAGCGGATCGTGTGGGAGACACCAAAGGACGAGGCGCCTTTTGATGGTTTCATGCGAGACGGGGAGTACGACCCTGCAGACGTGAAGATCAGAGCTGCTAATTGTTCCAAATCTCGTGGATGCAGATCGACGGGCACCAGGTTCAGCGTTCGCGAGCTTCAGGAGGAGAGGGTGGACGACGGGGTATGGATCCTTGATCTTCCCTACGTCCCTCGCTGTGTCGTGGACGACGGTCGCGGGAGGAGCATTGTTGTTGATAATAACGACAAGGAGGAGAGCCACGACAACGAGGGTGGCGATGAGTTACTCAAAGTGCAGCTCACAGACATTCAGTCCATCAAGCGCTCGGGCGGCAACTCATGTTCTGCTAGACACGACGACATCACTTCGTCAGCGGTCCTTGCATCCGGCGGGCCTTCAGGGGCTCCTTCGGTGTCGTTGTCGGGCGAGGCCGGTGTACGTACACAAGAACGAAGCTCCACGCCAGGTGGTGTGGCTTCAGTGCAGGGCACCAACACACTTTGGGGCGCACAACTCACCCCTCATTGGCGAGCTATGCTCGAGGAGATACCCACGGGCCGCGGGACGACAAACGGGGGTTCGACAGACGTTCACGGGGACAATGTTGAGGTGGAGGTTGATGCGGGTTTTGGTGGCACTACGGGACATGCGGACGGAGATATGGGTGCGGACATGGACGAACCGACTCTTGGAACAGCGGAGGACACCGAGGTTGCGGGCAACGATGTGTTCTCCACTCTTGACCCGGGGTTGGGGTTAGGAGAGGGGTTCGCCTCCCTATTGCACCACGTGGCCCCCATTGCGCCAAGTGGCTCCAACAAGGACTTCTGTGAACACCTGTCTACGATGTCCCCCGTGCAGATTGATTTTGAGGAGCAGGCTCCTGATTGGGCCAAATTCACTAGACTAACCTCACCCGGTCGACAGTTGAGCGAGCACATTCCAACAGAGGCCGGGAAAGGATGAAAGGGCATGGTCTACAGGAGGAGGACCCGAGTTGCTGAGGCTGAAGGAACTGACCCGCCACAACATGTAGTTGCTCGACATGTGTCAGTGTCGCCGCCAGAAATCGATGCCAGCAAGGTGCACCAGGGTGAAGAGTTCGGCGAGCTGAAAGAAAGGAGGGAAGAACAAGCCGAAAGAGACAGTGGCTCCGACGATAAGAGGTGGAAGAGGCAAGGGACGCAAGACGGTCACACTGCCAACGACCTTGAAAGAGAAACATATTGTTGTTCGGCAGGCGAAGAAGAGGAAGGCACGAAGAGTTCAAAAGAAAGTCACCACAGTCTCGCAGTCTCCAAACAGGCACTCGAAAAAGAAGAGGAAGCGAGTGCAAGAGGACGATGAGTCTAGCAACAGCAGCGCTATATCTTCCGCAGAGGAACAAGAAGCATCGGCAAGTTCATCGATTGACGCGTTATCATCAACCAGCACCAGTACCATCAGAGAGAGAGAGAGAGAGAGAGAGAGAGAGAGAGAGAGAGAGAGAGAGAGAGAGAGAGAGAGAGAGAGAGAGAGAGAGAGAGAG